CTAGACCAGATGTGGAATTATTATGAGGTGTGCAATCGTGGCTTTCCTTGCTTGTTTTTGTTTTACATGAGAAACTTGTCTTTCTCAGTAGATTTTGTGAACTTGTGTTTGGACAGTTTCAGAGAGTGTCTGCAGAACTGAATCCCTGAGAGGAAACCTGGTGAAACACTTGTTGGATTCTTGGTAGCTCTGTACTTACGAGAGTCAGTAGGACTGAACTGTAGGCCTTCATCCTGTGCAGCAAATCATTTGCTTCAGAAACCGGGTCAGTTGTTTGTAAACTATACATTTATTCTTTCTGTACATGAGACAAAATAGAAATAAATTTGTTCCCACAGTCTGTCAGCATTTGTGATTTTGCTTTAAGAAAAAAAAATAGAGATGTTTTGGGTCCCTAATGAACTTAATTTGCTTTTTGGCATGACTGTAAATACGACACTTCCTCACCCCCACTGCAAACTTATGCTGTGCAGGCAAACTTTATTCAACCTCACACAGCCTCATAGTAAATTCTACCTGGGTATCCAAAGATATGAAATACATCTGGCTGATATTTTTCAAAATATGAATAAAATGATATTTCCCCAAAGGGATTTTTAACAACCTGGTGACTTGGTTCTTAATAATGGCTCCATAATGAAAATGAACTGTTAAAAATCTGCACCACTTCAACCAACTACACCCAAGTCATGGGTGTCATTATTTGCAGAGTACTTTTAATTATTTAAGTGCACTCATAATAATAATCATAATAATAATCACCTTTACTGGCCAAGTATGTTACACACAAGGAATTTGTTTCCAGTATAGAACTGAGGCAGCCATCTGCGGCGCCAACTCAACCGATGGTTCTAACCATGGGGGGGCAATTGGGAGTTCAGTGTCTTGCCCAAGGACACTGACACATGGACTGCAGGCACCGAGATTCGAACCCTCGACCCCCCCAACATAACATAAGTAAAGTTGTTTTCAGTGCAGGACTTTTACTTGTAATGAGTATTTCTGTGGTTAAATAAAAACGTCCTCCTGTGCTGGTTTAGTTGCATTACACTTCTGTATTAATAACTCCTCGTGTTATTTGTGCGTAATGTCCCTTTAACAGCTCACTAGCCCGTGGAGTCACGTGAGTGTATCATGTGATTATTCATTTACACAGTGCTACCCTGTACTCTGTCTGCGGAAACTCTTTGGAAACTGCATCCGAACTACCAGGTAAGAAAAATTCTACTGTTTTCCACACAGAAGAAACACTGTCCGTTAAAGTCACTCCAAACAGCTAGCTTCATTGTTAACCACCTAGCCTGCTAAATAAACTTGTTTTTCTTTAGCTCTGGCTAAGCTAACGTTAGCTAGCTCTAATTTCTATTATGAAAAGGTAGATTTTCTATTGAGACAGTCCTTCGTATACGTATATACGCAACGTACTAGATGTGTTTGAATGTTGCCCAGTCTCGTCCCATAGTGTCATGATGACTGGTGGTGTTTTTGTTGTGTTTTAGGTTGTTAAAGGAGTATGCGGTACTGTGCTGCTAATATCTGAGCTCTGCCTCCACTTCAAGTCATCTGATAACAATGGTAAAGTACACTCACTGTCAGTGGTGGAAACCTGCTCAATACATTTACCTACGTACTCGGAATTCAGTACAATTGCAGTTTTTTTTTTACTTTTGAGTATTTCCATATAATGGTTCTCAAAGTTCAAAGTGTTTATTTTGTCAT